AAAAATTGTTCCTAGCCAGGACAATTTAATTTAATTTCCTCCTCTTTTTAAGTATGCTATTTTTTTTAAATCAGCATTGTTTATTTTTTTATTTCATATTTAGTTGTTTGTTTATTTTTGTAGTAGTGTATTAAAAATGCACAAAAATATTATTTATTTAGTCAATATTTTTGCTATGATTTGTACCAACAAGTTGTTTTAGTCTCATTATAATTAGGACACATGATATAATCGAATATGAATGTTTTATCTCTTTTAAAGCAGTCATTATTCATGCAAATTAAATAGCTAATATTTAAGACAGCATTGCCAAAATAAATTTTGCTGGTTTAAAGGTTAAAAAAAAAATAGTATTGCTTTGGTGCTGTTAAAATGGAAAGTAATTGCCTAATTAATGAGCTTCCATTGAAAATTGCCCTGGTTGGTAATGGGTATAGAGAAGGGGAGCTGAAGTGGTAAGTATAGTGACTGTAGACACCTGTGTGCTTACATTAGATTCGGCAAAAATCTTCTAGTAGAGAAGAATCAGTCAGGTTCTAATGGGCGTCATTTACAGCCTAGCGCAGCTCGCGGGAGGAAAAGCTGGGGGTAGCCCAATGAACTCCAGTGTAGTTAAAGCAATTTGAAGCAATTACTTTGTTAGAAAGGTTTAATGCAGATGAAAAGCGACTAAATTGTGCAAGTATTTTATGTGTCCGTCCTGTATTCAGGTTGCCTTAGTTACTAAATATTTTGGCTGCGTCGGCAGCATTAAATTTTTGTTTAATTGATATCATTGTTTACCCGACCTTTCAAAGAAAACTGAGATTTTTGTATTATGCTCGGCTTTTAAAGATATCTGTCAAAACAGGAATGAAAACAGCTGCCAGATAAGTATACTTATTCAAAGAAAAATCCATAAACAATGGGGAAAAGAGCAGGATTTGGAGTTTGCACTTGAAACAATTTATCTCTTAACCACTTGAGTACCAGCCTAAATGTCCCTTTCATTACCAGGCCATTTTTCAGTTTCTACTGCTGTGATAGTTTGACCGACAATTACTCCGGCATATAACACTGCACCCAAATTAATTTTTTATCGTTTTTTTGACAGATAGAACTTTCTTTTGGAAGTATTTAATAACCACTGGGTTTTATAATTTACAGGACAAGTTCACCTTGTTATATGTTCCATCTGCTTTTTGCAACAGAGCTGTCGGCAGTATGTGTGAGAGCTTGACATTGCACCTGTGATCTGATGATTGTGGGTGCAATATTTTCCAGGCACCTATTTAAAAATAAAAATGCTCTTGTTTTACATGCAGAAAGTTGTGCAATTATAATTTTTTACGTAAAGGTGAATTTACCTTTTAAAGAGAAAAAGACACAACATTTTGAAGAAATAAAAAGTTTCCCTTACTTTCTGTTATAAAACATATCAAATACAAATGGCAGGACAGTGCAAACACCTCCCAAAAAAAGATACCTTTTTGGTCAGTAGACGACCTAAAGTGATCTAATTTTTGACCACTTATTTGGAAGTGAAACGTACTGGTATTACGGTGGTTAAAACATGGAGCTTGGTATGTTTTAATAAAATGTATTAAAACCACATTATATGTGACACTGTTTACCTCCTACCTTCATTTATGTAACTCTTTTTTTCTCCCCTTCCTCCACTGTGAGAGAAATGAGAGAGCTATCAAATATAAAAAACAAGGAATGTTTACATTTGTGTTCGCTGTGATTGGTTATCATACTGATCACCAGGCACAGATCCTCTCTGACTGGCTCTGTGCACTTTGTAATCTGCCCTATCTAATATCAGGGCAGTGACAGGCATTGTTCACACATTAGGCATGCACATAAGTAGTATGCAGAATGTCGTTTTGTTACCAGCGCTCCAGAAATACACAACTACCAACCCACCCAGTATGGTTGTTAAGACTTTAGACTGTTCTCCTTTAATTTTGATGCAAATAATAAGTGACAAAGGAGGACATGTTTCTTGTTTTTTCTACTCTGAATGTTTGTTGTATTTCAAAGGGTTGTGTTAAAGTGCCTCTGTCATTACCTACTCAAGGTAAAGGGATGGGTTGTGTTGAAAAGCAGCTTCACAAAAGGACCTAAGCCACATTTTTGCATACACGGTTAGGTGTGTCAGGTGGTTGGGTGTTTATTTATTTCATTGGACAGACTATTAATTTATTCTGGCCACTGAAATGAAAAAAAACGCTCAAGCTCTAAACGCACTTAGTGCTTAGGCTCGTTTACACGCATTTAGGCACGCCAGGCTTTTTCTGTGCTTAAAAGATCCTCTCCTTAATGGGACTTTTTTGGGGAAGGGTTTTCTGCCTCTAAACTCCTGTAAACACATAGAGTGTGCATGGGCATATAGGCTAACATGGAGGGGCGTTTAGAGGCAGAGAAAAAAAGCTCAAACGCCTGTAAAAACTGTGTTTTTTCAAGTGGGCATGAGGCCTAAAATAATAAAACCACACATATTTTACTTTTTAGCAAGCCTTAATGCATACCACTACTAAACACTTTGCAAGGGAATTTTCCCTTAACTTGGTGAATGTGGTGGAAACTCACTTGGCAAAGGATACCCAATCACATGCAAGTAAATTGAAATGCATCTTCTCACTTGTGCCCGTAAAACCAAAACACACAGAAACTCCAGATATCCAATTTTTTCAACTGGCCAAAATTCTGTAGGCTTACAACTTGTTTCAAGAGTCATGTTTTATAAATTTTCCTTCTTAAAGTGGAGTTCCGCTCAACCTATCAAAAAATAAAAGTCAGCAGCTACAAAAACTGTAGCTGCTGACTTTTTAAAAACAGCCACTTACCTGTCCCTCGGTCCCGTGGTGTGTCCCCCACAGCTCGTTTCACCTGCCATCCTGGATTCCTGGAGGCCGGCATCTTCAGTGTGGGCACCCGGCTGTGAGAGCTTGTGGCTTCATAGCTGGGTAGCCACTGGGCATTCGCGAGTAGTGCTGTGCTTCGTGAATGGTCCTGTAGTCTTCTGGGACCTGTCACGTGTCCCAAAAGACAACAGGGAGGGAGGGAGGGAGGGAGGTAGGACACTTTCTGCTTCCAATAACCTAGGAGATCACAGTGGAAGTGGGAGCGGGCACTTGTCAAATTCAGGTACCAGCTCCCCAAAGGTGCCAATCCTTAATGGGGAGCGGGTGAGCAGTCCTTAAAGTGGAACTTCCCCTTTTGGGTGGAGCTTCTCTTTAAGTGCAGGGCTAACCTTAGAGCCACATTCCTGCATCTATGCCAAAACAGGTTTGTTCCCCTTATCAGTTGGTATCTAATATCAGCATCCCTCAATGGATGTCTTGGTAGATGTATTCAGCAATATTGATAACTCCATTTTGGTTACGAACAGATGCTGAACAAGGGTCACCTCTAACATAATCAACAAGGGCCCATGCTGATGTCATTAGAGATATGGTGTTATTAGGGAACAACAGATATAATCAGTATAAGACATTGATGACATATTGTTAGTGGTTTACATTAATCAATATTATATGACCGGTATAGGACATTGCTGGTATAATCCATATTAGAGAATATTTTATATAATCAGTAAAGGACATTGTTTATGTAACCAATATTGGGGAATGCCAATATAATCAATAAGGGCACTGCGGATATAATTGCTAAAGGATATTGCTGATATTATCAGTGTTTGTCAGTGTAAAATAATAAAATCAGTAAGGACGCTAATGATTAAATGTGTGTAACTAACTTGTGACCTGAAACGGTTCATTTAGCGATAATAAGTATCAAGCACAAATAAATCTGTGAATTTTTTACAGTCTGTGTTAAATGAAACATAATGATGACATAACAATGTTTGTGTGTTATAATACTAACCTCTCTGTTGTCTCCCTTTCTCCTCCACCTGTGTTCTCTGTTTCCCCCTCCAAAAGCTTCCATAGTGACTGTCATTCATCTAGTCAACAATGTTGTTGATAATATTGAAAATGAAGGTATTTACTTTTTAATGTACCTCTCTGTATCTTTCATGAACAAGAGCTCATTTTTTAAAATTTCTTATTTAAGATATATTGTCAGTGTAGTTTTTCCGTATTTAACATTTAAGAATATTTCTACTAGCATGCATTTAGCATCTCTAGATTATATTATTTTATTTAAACAGGGAATACTGATTATAAATTATAAGTCAATTTATCTATAAGACATTTACATATGATTTTATGAAGTGTCAAGAAAAGAGAGATCTGAATAGATTTTATCAAGACACTAAAAAACAGATACCATGATATTTTATTAACATTCATTTGTCAGTTCCTAAAAAGAATGGCTATACTAGCCAGGGATATAGAAATGAATTTGACGATCTGGATAGGCACAGTTTTGCAGGCATCCAAAGGCCCCTGCACTTTATTAATATTGTTTTGCTAACAGATTTTTAGAGCCTGGCAGATAAACTTATTTAAAATTATTTGTCTGTAAATCATATCCTGAATTTAAAACTTGAACACTCATTTGTGTGTTAAGGGATATTTTTCTTAATGGTAATGTTATTGTTGTAAATACTACTTAGTTAAATATATATATATATATATATATATATATATATATATAAAAAATATTGCCAAAATTATTGGGACGCTTGCGTTTACACACACATGAAATTTAATGCTATCCCAATCTTAGTCCGTAGGGCTTTATGCACTGGGGTGCAGTCATGTTGGATCAGGGCCATCCCCAAACTGTTGCCACAAAGTTGAGAGCATGACATTTTCCAAAAATGTCTTGGTATGCTGACGCCTTAAGAGTTCCCTTCACTGGAACTAGGGGGCCAAGCCCAACCCCTGAAAAACAACCCCACACCATAATCCCCCCTTTCAAAAAACTTTACACTGGGCACAGTCAGGCAAGTACCCTTCTCCTGGCAACCGCCAAACACAGACACATCCATCGGATTGCCAGACAGAGAAGAATAATTCTTCATTCCAGAGAACACGTCTCCACTGCTATAGAGTCCAGTGGCAGCGTGCTTTACACCACTGCATCTGACGCTTTGCATTGCACTTGGTGATGTAAGGCTTGGATGCAGCTGCCCAGCCATGGAAACCCATTCCATGAAGATCTCTATGCACTGTTGTGCTAAAGTGAAGGCCACACACAGTTTGGAGGTCTTTAGCTATTGACTCTGCAAACAGTTGCCAACTTCTGCGCACTGTGCGCTTCAGCTTGTGCTGACCCTGCTCTGTCATTTTACATGGCCTACTTCGTGGCTGAGTTGCTGTTGTTCCCAGTTGCTTCCACTTTGGTATAATACCACTAACAGTTTACCGTAGAATATTTAGTAGCCAGGAAATGTCACGGATGGACTTATTGCACATGTGACCACTTATCACGGTACCACGCTGAAGTCACTGAGCTCCTGAGAGTGACCCATTCTTTCACAAATGTTTGTAGAAGCAGTCTGCATGCCTAGGTGCTTGAATGTATACATCTGCGGCCATGGAGGTGATTGGAACACCTGAATCCAATGATTTGGAGGGGCTAGCCCAATACTTTTGGCAATATAGCGTGTGTGTGTGTGTGTGTGTGTGTATATATATATATATATATATATATATATATATACACACACACACTGTATATTTAAAAAATAGATATTTTATTACATATTATTAAAAAGCCCAGGTAATTTTGAAGACACTTGGAAATAACAAAATGATTCCTTTTGCTTCAGTTTGTTTTTTTTATACACTTGTTTTCTGTTTTGGTAAACCTTTTGGGGGTTTTATATCGTTTTGTATTTATTTTCTATTCTGTAAATCCTTAATAAATTAAAAAAAATGCTAAATAAACAGTTGTAAAAAAAAAAATTGGGAAACAGCAGAAATCCATTTTTTTTTAAATACCGTACATGAAAAATGAAAAACTATTTTACTACTCTCTGTGATCTGTTTTTTTTTTTATGTTGTGATCTTTTCCTTTAAGTTTTTTTTATTTTTTCTCTTTTTTAAAACCATAAAGGATAAAAAAATATAAAGAAAATAGATTGTTAAAAACAGTGTAAGCAGTTTAGGAAGAAAAAAAAGAAAGAAAATGACTTAAATTACATTGCTGATGCTTGAAAAAAAATATTTTTTCCTTTTGATTGCTTTTTTTTGTGAACTGTGCTATTCTCCTTTCCTTAAACGAAACAGCTCCAGTAATGGACCAAGGACAGAATTACAACAGAGGTGACATTTGTAACCCCAAATCCAGCTGCCTTTTTATTGTTGTGTTTCATAAAGCCCCTTTAACCATGTCTCTTGAACATACTGTTTCAATCCTGAAAACACGTTTTGAAAGCTTTGCCTGCCTGCTTGTGAAAACCCAATTCTGGATGTTTATGCCCTAGCATGTTGGTACCGTGTCATCTAATACAGCCGTGCTGTAACAGTGTCCAAGCTATCACTCACCTTGTTATGTAACATATGAATTAACAATGATGTATTGCTTTTATGGCACACAGCTTGGAAGCATGTACAAAGCAGTGAATTTAAAGTGAACCTAAAGTTTTTCAGCAAGCAATTTGTTGCCAAATTAAAGGGCAAGGAAAGCAGATTACTTGTTTTTTTCAGCTATGAAGATTTTAGTGTATCTAGAAAAAGTGAATTCCTGCCTCCATTATTAATAATACACCTCCACAATTGCTCCAAAAAAGGCTGTTATACTGTGGGAGAAGGTTACACAGAGTTAGTCAATTAAAAACTTCCAAGAATGTCATAGGCCCTTTAAATATGTAATGCCTGTGAAGTAATGAATTTACAGGGCCCAAATCATAGACACTGTTCTTATTTGGCTGCATTCCACTGAGATGCAGACTTTCCCAAAATGGCAGCCAGAGCCTGGACCCTATTTTCAGTTTTTACCTTTGACAATGTCACATTTTCCAGGAGCTCTGTGTCCTACATAGATTGACAGACCCATTAGAAGACAGTTAGGATCATATCATTTTGGGCTTGATTTACTAAAGGCAAACTTCAATATGCAAGGGAATTTTCACTTAACATAGTTAATGAGGTGAATATCTGATGACTTTCATCATCTAATCATGTGCAAGAAAAAATACTGCTTTTCTTTTCTTGCATGTGAATGGGTCATTTTTGAACAGTGATTTTTTTTTAAATCACATCCACTAAACTAAGAGAAGATTCCATTAAAAAGTAAACAGCCTATTTGCTTTTAGTAAATCAACCCCACTACATCCACTGGGTGGCCTTTACCCTCTTCCTCTAGTGATGCTCCACATGATCATTGCTAGAGGTTTTCCTATACAATTTATGTTGTAGCTTTCACTCTTTCCTTCAAGCAATGTTTAACAAGAAAACTGCTAAGCAAACATGCAGATGTGGCAACGTCATGTTATTGCCACTGTCCCATATTGCCTACTGTTCATGTGTGGCCTCTGCATTCGGTGGGGCTTATGAAGATAAAAATACAAGCCACAGGATAATCTGCTTCTTGTGATATCATAGCTAGGAAGAGTATGGAGGTAAAAAGGGACTAGCAAATTACACTAAAACCTTTTTTACTGGAAGAAACAAAAGGAGTGACTGCTTTGCCTGCCCTTGTTCTTCACAACATTATTATTTTTTACTACCATACAGGTGCACAAAAGCATGGCTGATTTACCATTAACAGAAGCATGTGGAATTCGAAGGGGATGTCTAATTTTTACTATAAACATATTCATTTGCATATTGTATTTTTCTCAGCTTACCATTGGGATACTTCAGACTGGATGCCAAGCGCACGATTGTCGGACATTGAAGAGGCTCCAAACTACGAAGCCGCAGATGGAACCTCTGCACACCATGGTAGTACCAGAGAGTTGGAGTCAGACTACTACCTTGGTGGCTACGACATCGACAGTGATTACCCTCCTCCCCAACACGAAGACTATTTAAGCCAAGATCAACTGCCACCTCCCACTTCCGGAGGACTTCCAAGAACATTATGACACTCTTCCAAAAGTACAACCACGAACCGTGGTTAGTACGCTCAGTCCGGACTGTAGGCGACGCCCACAGTTCCATCCAAGCCAATACCTCCCACCCCATCATCTCTCAAATGAAATAGACACATCGATTTCCCAAGCTGGACATTCTTTTAGTACTTTTGTGCCTGGTCCAAGCCAAAATATGGACAAGACAAGCACAGATAACATCTCTTTATCTTTGCACAATTCTGTGGGTGCTTCCTCATCAGATGTCTCTGCTAGTTGTGGACTAGAAGACACAGAAGTGGCCATAAGTGACTATGAAAGTTTAGACAACTTTCGACTTGATCAATCCCACATTCCCTATATGGAAACCCAACATCAGACTCAAGTGTGACAAACTTTTTGTTTTATATGCCCATGACTAGTCGTACATATGAAAAAAAAGCCACAGCATTCATCTTGGACTAAAGTAACAAGTGCAAACCTTTGGAATTCCAGTCGCTTAGATAGTATGTCAGTTATCTGTTGAGAAAAATTAAATAGACAATCCTTTTAACACTTTGCTGATATTTATTGCCAAACATATGCACAGTGTTTTATTACTCAAAAGAATTTTTGAAAAAAAAGTACAGTTTGAAAGTCTCTTGCATAACTTAAGGAGAAGGATGCTACATTTATAAGCAGGTGAACATGCATATGCTGGTACTGTGTATCATATGGCTTTGAAAGGCTGAAGTGTAGCTGTAAGAGTATTAAAGCAAACCTGTCACTTTCAAAGTGGAAGTAGCCATTTTGTGCTCAGAACTTGTATTCATATACATGTAACTCTCAAGTCGCTAGGGCTGACTGTGTGAAAATCGGAGAAGTGAGCTGTTTTCTACAGCAACCATATTTCATCTTTCAAAGGAATCATGGACTCTGATAGTTTGCTATGGGTGTTAACTCTGCTTTTGCTCCAGCTTTCATAAATCAGCCCCACTGTGGCAGGTGTGTTATTTTCTGCAGGCAGTGGAGAAAGAACTCTGTGGGGTCCAGGGACGTGATACTGTTAACATTGTTGCTATTAAGATTATCATCATCTGTACATAGAAGTGTTGGCATTTCAAATCTCTGAGATCCCTGCTACTCTCAATACTCATTTGGGAATTACCAATGAGCATTGAGAAGTACCTGTATACAATGTATTTAAGGTGGACATATTTGTACTTGGCAGTAGGGTTTCATAATTTAGGACCTTGAGTTCTGCTGCATTTGTATCCCCCTCTATATGGTCATCTCTTGCAATGTCCTCTCAAACCTGAGAGGTTCTGAACAATAGGGTAGATTGCCAACAAAACCAACGCCCCCATAATTTTAATACCTTGTAATATTGGGAACTTTTAAACCCTATCAAATCCACCTACATTAAAGCTGGAATCCAAGCATACAGCTAAATACAAAGATTAAATACATACTGTATTCGGGAACTGTTTTACCAGTCAAAGGATTTGTATTTCTCCCCATCCAGCCCTGAGATTAACTCAACCCCATTACACTGCCAGCAAGGCAAGTGGACACCACCTACAGATAAGAAATGCATTGGTGTTCTCTCTTCACCCCCACCATCCTTTTTGACTGGATAGCAACAAAGCAGCAGCAGATTGATGAGGTTATCCCGCTGCTCACTCTTCTGCTGTTCTCACCTCAAATCAGCATGTTTTTCATTAACACATTTGCATGCAGCACTCAGGATTGGCTTCAGGTCTTCCCCCATCTCAGATCCGATGTATTGGGGATTTGGACTTATGCCAAGTCAGATTCAGGTCCTTCTACAAGTTGCATTAAAATGCATTTACTTACTTATTAATGAATACAACACTTCATTAATTTATCACATCTGCTTGGACTTCAACTTTAAGCAAAACCATGTACATTTTCTTCTAAGTCCCACCCTTGAGTTAGCCTGCGGCAGTTAATATGCATGTGAGTATATGTGATAAGTACATTTTGACTTAAACATTTTGGAAAGAAATACCAGAGCTGTTTACAAATATGAAAGTTTACTGGAAGCACAAATATGAAAATAACAAAAATGCTTTAAATATCTATGCTCCTACATTACTGAAGACAGTATGTATGTATATATTCTGAGCCAATTAGCCATACTTCTCAATATAACAATTTTTTTTACAAATGTGTGTGCCTTGTCCATACTGGCGAATTTCAGTTCACACAAAAATCACCTGTCTACTTTGCACTAAAAATGTATCTTGAAGCCACACACACAACAAACACACACATACATACAATATAAATTGAATCCACCTGAAATCTCCATTTGAGATTTATTAAACATTGTGCAAAGACAAGTGGTGTGCAGTAACCTAGAGTAATAATTTAGAAATGATGTGCTATGAGTTTGCCCGCACTAAGGCAGTTGATTTGATTGGTTGGTATGCACACCATTAAGCAATGCATGATGTAACTAGGGAGTTATCCATACATCCTTT